TCAGCTCAGCTCAGCTCAGCTCAGCTCAGCTCAGCTCCTCAGCTCAGCCCAGCCCAGCTCACCCAGCCTAATCTGATCCTTAGCTAGCATTTAAGTAACGTGCTGGGTGATAAATGTGTATGATTTTGCTGTCCTTGTACCACCCAGGGACTTTTCCCTGTGGCCCAACCAATGCAAGCTGAGCACAAAAATGTGGCCAAATATGGGAGATTGAAAAAAACAAAGCAGTGTGACTGGGCTTTGCATGTGGGGCATATCAACCTCTGTGATTTGGTAAATCATAGTTTGGTGTTTGGTGGGAACCCAGCCAGTTGCAGGTCACCCCACCAACAGTGCTCCAGCAACTCAGGAAGTCCTCTCCATCCCCAGCAAGTTGTAGAACTGGAGATTCTCAAAGACAGACGTTCATGAATACGATTGTCCTTCTGCCAAAGATTCCTATTTGTCCAGTTCCAAAGCCCAGCCTTTGCTTGGTATATTGATGCTAGAACCCATAATGGAAGAGGACAGTTAGCAGAACATGAGTGGCACGAGAGATTTTTGGACTTTATGTTTAGAACTGGGGTGGGGTAGGGTGGGGGAGAAAGCTTGGCTTTGAGCCCATCCTATTCCTCATCCCCAAAGAGCAAATTTATTCAGGCTCTTACTTAAGCAGTTCCCACTGAGTATTTAGAGCGTGAGGTTCATGCACTTCAGCGTTACAGAAAAGCAATGCATATTTCTCAACGGTATGCTTAGCTTTCGTAACTTTTTTCATCTTTCGTGATCAAAGTATCTCCCCTGCCAGGTGGGATTTTATATTCCCAGCACGTTCCTCGAGCGTCCCAGCATTTTGTGGGAGGAGTGGACTGATTTCAGAGATAGCAAGCAAAAGATGGATGACAACTATGGCAGGAAAGCGGAGCTCAGAACAGGCGCACCTCTGGAGAACAGCGGCAACGATTAAATTTGCAGAGGACCCCACTTTGCATTACTGGGTCAAGGGGTTCCTTAGAATTTAAAATTAAAGGGATTCTTTAGAAGCACAGAATCCTGGGATTGGAAGAGGCCACTGAGGTCATCAAGTCCATCCCTCCTCAGTGGAGGAACCCAGATTAAAGCATCCCCAACAGATGGCTGTCAAGTCTTTGCTTGAATATTTTTTTAGTCTTTGTGCCTTCGAGTCAACGTTGACTTCTGGCGACTGCCTGGAGAAGTCTCTGCAGTTTTCTTGGCAAGGTTTTTCAGAAGTGGTTTGCCTTTGCCTTATTATTACTTTTTTTTATGGTTTGATTCATTTCATTTCCCTCCAATAAACATCAAAACAGAATACGCCTTAATACTTGGACTGTGAATCAGTCTTTGCTCTGAAAAATGACTTAAAATGTCCAAGGTTCTCTTTCATAATATAATAATCAGACTTAATATAATCATATTCACAGATAATGTTATTGTTGCACAGCAGCATCTCTTTGGCTAGACAGTTCCTAATGTTGGAAAACTCCTATGGATAATTTCCAGTTTAGTTCCTAGCGTGTTCCCAGTCAGTCCCTATACCCATACAATACAGGGAGTCCCAGTTTAAGAAGGAGTTCCATTCCCAAGGTCTGTCCTTGAGTCAAATTTATATATAAGCCAGAACAGTACAGTGGAACCTCGAGTTACGAATTTAATCCGTTCCATGACTCTGGTTGCAACTCGAATTGGTCACAACGCGAGGCAAATTTTCCCATAAGGTTCAATGTAATTACCGTTAATCCGTTCCGGCGTCCGCGGACCCCGCGGCAGGGGCGGAAAAACGGCCGCGGACCACGCGTCAGGGGCGGAAAAACGGCCGCGGACCACGCGTCAGGGGCGGAAAAACGGCCGCGGACCACGCGTCAGGGGCGGAAAAACGGCCGCGGACCACGCGTCAGGGGCGGAAAAACGGCCGCGGACCACGCGTCAGGGGCGGAAAAACGGCCGCGGACCACGCGTCAGGGGCGGAAAAACGGCCGCGGACCACGCGTCAGGGGCGGAAAAACGGCCGCGGACCACGCGTCAGGGTGGAAAAATGGCCACGGACCACATGTCAGGGGCGGAAAAACGGCCGCGGACCATGTGTCAGGGGCGGAAAATGGCCACGGACCACGCAGCAGGGCGGAAAAACGGCCGTGGACCACATGGAACGGGCAGAAAAATGGCCGCGGACCATGTGGAACAGGTGGGA